ACACGCACCGTGTGCCTTGTTGGACATTTCCATAGGCTGCATTTGCAGCCTTTTACAGAGTTCGACCACAACCCCTCTGGGCTAACCATAAATTTTGTAAAAGACACATCAAAACCTATTGCTTTTGTCAAAATCATTATTATTAGTACAGTATTAGTAGCAGTGGTTGTAGTAATACTGTAGTAGTATTAGCATTCCTCATAAAGAATCGTATTTTTGAGGAATTCACCAAAATTCACCCAAATTTGCACACGCATTGGCCCTTGCGAAAAATTTAAAGTTGCCAGACACGAGTACCAAAATTGGGTCTGTAGCACCCCCCTCCCACCACCACCACCCCCAGCAACTACAGAGGTTTCATTGTCATTATTTTTCTCTCTCAAGCATGCAAAGTACAGTATCCATCGTTCTGACGTATTTTTGGGATCGTGTACTACTGTGTTGACAACATGAATATTGACTTATCAGTTCACTACTTGCTTTGGCTTTGTGCGTTTAATGTCCCATGATCTCGTCTATATTTAGCCAGTAAGTAATCATGTGTCTCGCAGTGTCCACACGTTTCCATGTCTGTCTCTTGTTGGGTTGTGTTTATGTTTGCACGTAACCGATGTGTAACAAATGTGCTAAAATAATCACATTGTCTCCACCACATCTGTCATTTGTGTCTAGTGATCAGATGCCGTTGTAAAAAGGACAAACTCTTTAAAGGAAGGTCAAACTAAAGCCCGGTCTAAATGGACACCTCTCGGGTTCCTTAGTTCACTATTGCATGTCATTCCATTTACTGGTAGTTTGATGTGAATATGGCTTTTTATTGCCCATGTTTTTTTTTGTGTGTGTTTATGATAAAGAAAGTAGTAGATGCATTCTGATTAAATTAATGATGGTAAATAAATCCAATAATACTTCATTGACCGTGTTCATTTAATCAGATTTGGAGGGTGGGGGGAGCGATAATTATGAACAAATGTTTTTTGCTTACTAATTACAACTGCGTTTGTATTAATTTTTTGTTGATTCTATTTGGTGGTAATTGTTGTACAAGGATATAGTTTCGAGTCGAATTTTCAAACATAGAAATGATGTTTCATCAAAATGCCACAATATGGATTTCGACTTTCGCATTTGAACAACTATGATGATCGGCGATAAATGCCAGCTTTTCTTTTTATGTACAAATGCGCAGTATTTGGCAAAATATGGATTGAATAACTTTTTACTGAAGGTTAGGTAGAAATTAGGTACAGCAAATCACTGCGAATCGACAACTGAAGCCGAGTATTTGTGACGTTAACCTACTGAGGTAACGTTGGACAGCTGATATATTAGCTCTTATAAATATTACATCAGCAAGATCAATCAGACGTAGATCATGGATTCTTTGTTGCTTTTGTTCTTATCAAATTTGTCGAAAAGTTCAAATGTCAATGCGGATTGAATTCTCTTCACAAGACAAACTGGGTCCGTTGGTCTCTCTTTCCATGTGTGATCATCAAAAGCCTTCCCATCAGTTGTCAACACGCCTTTCGTCAGCATCCTCCTCTCATAGACATTTTGGGAATCCTTCCTATTTTTCCAACACCGCCACTCACTTGGAAATGTGTCCTAGTGCATATTTAAAACAATTATGTTCGGGGATTTTTCCCTCTGTTTAACTTTCTGTTTCAGTTTTCTTCTCCTGTGATACATCAGTTACGATCAGGCTCCTCTCCCTCTATCTTGCACAGAGCAAACCACATAATTTGTCGGGGTGCATTATGGTCCCTCAATATAAGTCTTACTTCTTCCGTCTGTTACTAATCGTTGTTCTCGTACAATACTTCCATTTGGTCTCATGGCAAAAAGTTAATTTAGACTTGCTGCATTATTTTAAAGTGTCGACACATCATGAGGTGGGTGAGTTCACTGACTAGTGCAAAGTTATGCTTCTCACGTATATTGTCATAACTTAACCACACCTCATTTCTCTTTACTCCCCACCCCGGTAACATTTTCCCCTTCGGGGTCGGGGTGTGCTCATACATTCTTCAAGTGGAGGGAAGTGAAGAATTTCCCATGCGTGGAAACCCGCTTCATTCTGGCGAAAGTTAATTATGCTTGTTGCAGTCAAACAAGAATGATTAATAGTTCCAATCGCCGTTGTGTTGATATTTTTGGTGAATCTGTCTGACTCGTACTTTCACAGTATTTCTTAGTCCATGATCACGTGGTCATTTTCATTCGATATGCCACTGCCAGGGGAAAACTAACATGCTAACGTTTTGGCTTTTGATCTATGGACTCAGTGATCACTCTTTTGAGTGGTGATCACTGTTTGGGTGTTTTGCATTGAAGCCAGTTGCTCCAAGCGGGGAACTCCTTGGCCTTTCAACTTACTGGGATGGGTCAGTGAGTCGCAGTGTCTTCTCAAGTGCACGCCAGGGGCCTTATGTAATTGTTGGGTGGCTAACCTTTTGCTGGAAATGACAAATTGACATATCCCTTTGCTTCTGAACTTTACATTTTTTTACCTCAAAATCTCAAGATGGTGGAGGTTTGCGCGATGCTAAGTAGTGGCATTATTTTGTGTTTTCCAGGAAATAATATCGTGTTTAGAATACAGTGTTTAGACTACTGGGGGCACAGAGAACACATTATTGTAAAGAACATTTTTGAGTTCAATGAAATTGTTTGCAATTTGGATCAAAGCTTGCTTCATTCAAAGGAATGAAACATTGCATCACGGAAGCATGTGTCCTTCCTCCCTTTTCTCATCCCACGCGCACCTAGCCAAAATTCCACTTTTTGCAGAGTGACAACTCATGTTAATTGCACATCTAGACAAGTAGAATCAAGATTAAAACATGAACTACACAGTAATGTATGCATGACTGAACCAGTGATTTCTCATCTATGGAAAATCGATGCGTATTAGCTTCTGTGGCTTTTGGGGGGACATTTCATTTCCAAAGTCAAGGGGGTAAAAGAGCCAGTGAGAAAAGGTAAAGCTGCAGGGTCAGAGTAGCAGAACTAGAGTGGCTGAATTTTCAAAGCATAGTGTGTGTGTGTGTGTGTGTGTGTGTGTGTGTGTGTGTGTGTGTGTGTGTGTGGGTGTGTGGGTGTATACACTGTATATATACACACACAGACACACACTCGCACAACACTATTTGAACAAGTCATTATTCTTGACTTCCAATTTCAAAACAAGTTATCCATCAATTTGTTGTTCGCTGTGTATGTAATATGTGGTGGTGGTTAAACATTGATATGGTTTTACAAAATTCATAGTCGTAACGGCCCTCCGAGGGGAAACCGTCACGACAATGTGGCCGGCGACAAAAATGAGTGTGACACCCCTGCTCTAAATTGTCGCAAGGTGTGAGTGTGAGCGCGGATGTTTGTTTGTCGATGTGTGCCCTGCGATTGGCTGGCAACCAGTTCAGGGTGTCCCCCGCCTACTGGCTCCAGCACCCGCCGCGACCCTTATGAGGATAAGCAGACTAGAAAATGGATGGATAGATAAATACCGGTCGTCATTCTTTTTAAGGCTTATTCCAAAATGATTAACTGTCGTCCGTAAACGGTGCCCATCTCTCAGGGGACAAAATGAACGTGAACCTTCCATGTGCCTCATCGGTGCCGCAGCTGTCCATTCAGTAAGAGAGAGTGAGCTGTGTCACCATAAAGAAGACCATGACTTGAGGATATCTTTGGACATAGTGGCAGATGGATTTTCCAGTTTCACCTCATACGTCAAACATAGAGATTGGACTGTTAGGGTCGAGAATGACAACAGTGCTCATAATCACGCACTCGTCTATCTGCCAAGCTGGAAATATGGCGGTGTCTGGTTCTGTCTTGTTTTTATTTATTTGTTTATTTTTTGGGGCTTCCTAAAACTGTTGCCCTGACCCTTTGGTATCTATAGCTCTTGTCCAAGATGAGAGCTCAACGGCCTTCTGACATAGACAGCAATAGCTCCGTGACCTCAAAAATGATGTATGGTACAGTCTACTTTTGCGGAGGAAGAGTGTGCAGAGCATAATAAACAAATGACAGTGCAGTACGGTGAAGTCATCTGTCATTTTTATCATTTATTTTCAGCTGTGCTACTGACTTGCAGTAGCTTCATCTGAAATATTAGATTCTACAGGATACCCAGTATTGGTGTCAGGAGTCGGGGAGGTGATATTTTGGTCTGTGCTTGTTTGTTTGTATGTTTATGTTTTTGCCTGCTGCATACCGTGAAGTCTAGTTTCGACATAAGTTTGGACAGAGAATGGCACGGGCCAAGAAAGAAAGTTACAGATCTTGATAGCATATATGGAATGTTTAATTTATCATTATGAAATAACCATTCCATGGATAATAGCTGCGAGCCATAACGTATTAGTTGTTTAACACGATTTAAAGAGGAAGTCATGTCAAGCATTTTCTGTATGCATGCACCCCCATGTGTCTAAAAACACGGTATTCTAATTAATATTGCATTTGCGGAAACGAGGGTCACGGCTCATCCCATCATGTGACGCTCGCCAGCTAAGCCCTTAGGTACTGTGTTGTCATTTTCAGTTGACAACAAGTGGCAGTCCGAGGTAACCCCCCCACCCTCTCCTCCCGATATAAGATAAGAAAACCTTTATTAGTCTCACAATGGAGAAATTCCCAAATCCCATGGATACAAACCTGGGGGATTTTTCTACCTAATTAGTTTTCCACCAATGCAATATTAATCAGAATACCATGTTGAGACTATTGGGGGCACAGAGAACACATTACTGGAAAGAACATTTTTGAGTTCCCACTGACCAATGTTTAGTACAACTGCATACCGAAATCCAATATCACATTATCAAATAGAAGAAAAAAAATGCAACTTTCAACTTTAGGATGGCGTGTTTTTCTTAGGTTGTGTTTTTTTTTTTTTAAACCATGGAATTATTTATTAATAGATCACCTACTTCTTTTAAATGTGTGTGCCAATCTTTTGTTTCTTCTTTGTTGTCTCTCCGCAGAGGTGATCAGCCAGTGGCAAAGCGAGCCAAAAGAACGTGTCATCTCACTTGTCCTCACTCATTTGCCGCTGCTCAAACCGGGCAATGTCGAAGCCAAGGGCGAGTATATGCGCCTCCTACCGCGCATCCTTGCGCACACTATAGAACATGGCCGCCACCTGGAAGAGTCTCGCCAACTCTTATCCTATGCCCTCATCCACCCTGCCACCTCCCTGGAGGACCGTGCTGCGTTGGCCTTATGGCTCAATCACCTGGAGGAGAGGGCCGCTGCCACGGGAGACTCACTCGAAAGGCCTTCGCCTGCTGGCCCGCATCACCATCAGTCCACTCCACCGTCTACCCTTACATCATCGGGATCCTCCACCAACAGTTCTTCTTCCGGTAACCTATACGCTTTGCATCAGCACCAGCGCTACGGCTCCGACGATCGCCTCAATGGGTGGCAAGGCAGCAGAGATTCGGGGCTCGGGAGAGGCTGGCAGCAGCAGGGCTGTGAGAATGGACACCTGCCTCTCTACCCATCGGCCTCTGTACCAGCAACCATCAACACATTAGGAACTGGTGGAGGTGGCAACACCAGTAAGTGTTTCTGTCCTTTGCTGTCATTTTAACTTTCTGTCCTGGTTCTGCTCATCATTTGCGGTCTGTTAATGTGGATCTTATACTGAGTGCAAGGACATTGAAGTTGTTGTCACTATCAGTCACCGGTGATTGAATGGTGTCTTCTCTTTGCCACAGTGAAGGCTTTCTTTCAACCCCCCCAAAAAAATCAGAACAAATAAAATGATTTATGGGATAAGATAACCTTTACTTAGTCTAAAATGGGGAGATTTGTAATTCATTTTGAAATGTATTCCCTCTTTGGAAGTAGTGTCAAAATGTCAAGATTGTGTTGGCCACACACTCCAACAGATTTTGAATATACAGAAAATGTAAATGGCAACAACCAAAATTATTTGCATACAGGGTGATTATCTTGAATTCATTTTCCATCTATAGTTTTGTCAAAGCTCATACACCCACACATCTGCCCTAGTTTTCTCTGTCGATGGAACGAAAATGTCAAGATCTTTCCTAGCACCTTTGCATAGTGTATACCAGCGGTCGGCAACCTTTGACACCGAAAGAGCCATTTGAACCCGGTTTCCACGGAAAAGAAAACACTGGGAGCCGCACATCTAAAATGAAAAAAAAAAAACTTCTACTACTTTACCGCAGCATGTTTCTTATGAAATCCACGTGCTACAGAGAAAATTACATTTTATTCATTTCATGAACACATTTTGAACATTTTGAATTCTTGAAAAATAATAACAATGAATGTCTCTTTCAAATAAATTAAAAAGCTGAATTTAAATTGTCCATGTAGCAAACGAAAGCAGAAAAATGCCATGAGGCGTCATCCTTATATCCATTTATCTTATCTAAAATGAAGATAACACTGTATATATTGCTTTTTCTTACCTTTACACTTTGTATAAACAACTATAGTGTGGTTATGTCTTATGAAGTGCTACGGAGAAAATTAAATTTTACCGATGTAATGAACACATTTTCCTGAGCGGCCACAAAGCTTGCATATGTAGTTGAATTTGCAGACTTCACCCACTTCTTGAATTGATTTTTCGTCCGGTCAGCCTTCTGCATCAGTTCCGAAACAGCTTTTTTCCTCTCTTCTCCCTCTGGATATTTTTCAGCAAAGGCTCTGTGTGTATTGTTAAAATGTCTTGCAACATTTGACCCTTTATTGTTAGCCAGTTTTCTCCACAAATTAGGCATACTGGTAGGCCACTCTCGCCCGAGGTAAATGCAAATGAATCTGCCCAGGCATCATTGAATGTTCTATTTTCTTGAGATATTTTTCTTTTCTTACATTTCTCCATTGGCTTTGCCGGGGTTGAAAGTCGCTCAAAATAGACGCCGTTTCAGCGGGTATACCAGCTTCCGCAGTGTGACGTCTATTTTGAGCGACGAAAAAATAATATCAAATAATTTAATTAATATTTTAATATTTCAAGATCACAATAATCTTCAAATTTAGAACTAAAATAATATAAAAACTAACACAAATAAAACACACTTCAATTAAATACAAAAAAAAATTTTTTAGTAATTTATTTTCCCAAGCCAATCAGAGCCGCATTACAAGGATGAAAGAGCCGCATGAGGCTCCGGAGCCGCGGGATGCCGACTGATGGTGTATACCATCGTTTCTTAAGTGTAACACGCACCTGCGTATAAGATGCCCCACCCCCTAAAATCTCTCTTGTCTTAGCAATGTGTGGGCTTCAGCAGCTGTTTTCATGAGCGGACAATCATTCGGCCTCTGGTTTTCACAGATTCAAAATTTGATTTGCGGTTGCACAATGTATCGACATTGCATATTACAGTCAGCCAAAATCTACAGAAGCTTTCAAAAACATTAAAATGACATTGCCTGGTTTTACACAGATCGGACACAGCCGCCCGCCGCTAAGCCATCTAAATACAGTACTGGTTAAACAGTCCACATATATTGTTTTACAACAATAGGCAATTATATTTATAATGTTGTATGTACTTGTGGGTGAAATCGCTAAGCTTGTGGTAAAAACGTACGCAAGAAGTACGTACCGCGCGGAGTATAGTCAAGTGAATGTGAGTGAGCCCCGCTTTTCAGTATATCTACACCACACATGTCAAATTCAAGCAACCTGCGTCTTCCTTGACTGACACGCTGTTTTTATGGATTAAAAAAGTGGGTATAGTACAACATTTCGTATGGGGAGCCTCAGAAACCGATATAGGCTCGCGCAGTTCGCATACAGCATCGAGCGTCGGACTATCAAATGGCCCAACGTGCATGAGTGAGTGGCCAACTATCATTTTACTGTGATGAGCCAAACCAAGTTGGATTTAGAAGCGCCATGCAGTGTGTGAACAAATAGAAAAGATGTTATCACATTCATTAAACTGAAGTCTTGATTCCAGGTGATAGGAGCCGTTACACATACAAACTTATGGGTACATTTGTCTTCGTTCACGCAACAGCTACGCACGCCCTGTCTTAACTACATTACACAGCTTCTTCTCACGGGTTCTTCACATCACTCAGGTTGGAGTTCACACATTAGAGAAATAGCTGTCTTAAGCTATGCTGGTAAAATGTTGTCAATGCGAAAAAATCGAAGCATTATCGTTTATTATGCTATCCGCAGTCAGGGTTTCATGGTTTATAACGCACACATGTATTCTGTGTCCATTTTAATAGAATCAACTGCAGCCACCATCGGGGACCACATAGCTCTGCCCCTGCCTGCACATCACCTGGTTCACAATTTTTTTTTTTTTTTTTTTGCGTGGGGGTGTAGCGACGCCACTCGAGTGAAGCGCGACTCAGCAGTCGATAGTCCGCTGCCCTCCACTGTGCGTGCATCAGCGCGGACGTGTACGCACGCGCGTCTTTTAGCTTCAACCAATCAGTGTTGACGCAACGGACATTACACATCAAAGAGCTTTGATCTATGACAACAGCTAAGCTAGCCTAGCCATAACAACAGCTAAGCTAGTTAGTTGAGACGACACGACGCTCGAGGTCAGACGGACACGCTCTCTTTCGTAATCTGTATGTTTTTCCTTTTTCTGTCCAAATATCTATATTTTTCTACTCCAATAGCTGTCTTGTCCACGACGTCTTTTTTCATTCCACCGGGGTTTAGCCAATGTGTTTATAAAGAGACCAAGATTTATTTATTTACTATTTATTTATTTATTTTTTGGAGGATTTGTTTTAACAAAAACAGAAAAATCTAGCCCACGAATTGAGCGTGTGAAGAGGCAGAGCGCGCTCCCCTCTCATTAATTTCTGAACACAGCCCATGTTCGAATCCACAAACACACTGGCACACCGTGTCCCCAGGTGGAGCGTGTAGAACACCCACTCCATTTTTGCTGCACTCTCAATAACTTAACGGCACATTTAAAAAATGCTCAAGAGTTTCCGAACGGAAGGAGTGAAGCAGTACGTGCTCGGAGCATAATTCCAAACGTGCCTTTGAGGTCGTTGCCCCACCCCCACATCCCTGTTCCCTCATCGTGGAAGTGTTGAAATATGCTCCGAGCGCGCTGCTTCACTCAGATGTTCCGAAACTCAAAACATTGTTCACATGTGCCATTCGGTTATTCAGATTAGCCCCAAAAACGGAGCCCTGTGTAAGCAGTGCAAGGAAAATAAACCGCTGCATTCAGAAATTAGCGTAAGTGAAGCGCGCACGCTACACTTCCACAGCAACGAGGATGCAGACAACAAAACGTTGACAATAACTATGTGAAAGTTTTTCATTTTATCTGAAAACGGCTTGCCTTTACTAGAATCCCACATCACATTCTAGCCAAAGATCCAATCCTAGTGGATGAATTCACCTTTTAAATCCTTGATGCTGCGCAAAGTGAAAGTTAGTTGCCATGACCACTTCCGGTGGATGAAGACACAGAAGCTACGGTCGTCATGGCAACCAACTTTTGGTTTGCACAAAAACAATTTATAAACAGCATTAATCCACCAGGTATGCACGCGGGATTCTAGTTAAGGAAAGCCATTTCAAGATAAAAACGACCAGTACGGTACAGAGTGCACTCCACTCACATTAATTCAACATGACAGTCTATAATTCTTTGTTTCGCATTGTAAAAGTTACATTTATTAAGCATAACAAGTGTTCAGAGAGGTGAGAAGTTTGTGTGTGCCAGGTGGGGGGGGGGGGTA